AAATAATTTGATAATATTCGAAAGTTTTATTTTATCATATTTATAGTCTGAACTTTCTCACATATTGTCTAATTCATGAAATATGAAGAAAATAACTTACGTTAGCGTGCTAAAATTTTGAGACATCTTTAGGACCTTTACAGCTGCTTCTTTAATTATCTTAGAAGACACAAACAAGATGTTTTGTAATATACAGAGTTCCCCCACCAAAACTGACATCATTTAAAATGTAAATATCTGAATAACTACATGTCCCAGGCAAACAAAATTAAATAGACTTCATATTCAACAATACATTTATTTATCAAAATCCGGATGTACATTTTGTAACTGATTTCACAATGCTTCCCAAATGTTCAATACGCGCTCCACCTGTGACAAAAAACACAAGTCAGTAGTCCAGCTCCTGCCGAACACGCCGTAGCATGTCTTGCATAAAATCCTCCAGTGTCTCAGTGATTCTCTGCTTAAATTCCTCTAGGCTTGTGTGAAGTGGGGATATAGACCTATACATTCACATAGCCGCATAGAAAACAATCACAAAGTGTCAAGCCAGGTGAAAGTGATGGCTATTTCAATACAACATTGATATTCTCACTGGCAGGACGGATCCTTATTCCTGGGGGATTCTCACTGAAACAAGCCCGCACTGATAACAATATAGATGTCAGATAGTATGCATCTACATACAACGGAAGCCAAATATTAAAAAAAATACATTTAAATCTAAGTGTCCATCTATCTTCAACGTTTATCGGTTTTAGTTTGGTTTGGTTTGTTTTACAGCATATCAATCTCAATGGGTTATTTAATGCCGACAACATTTTTAGGATAGATTCATATGAATAGAGTATGTATTCTTTGGTTTAAATTGATTTGGTTTACGTTGTTTAACGGCATATCAATCTCAATAGGTTATTTAATGACGACAACTTGTTTTCCTGGTAATATTTTGTTTTGTCAAAAATCTATTTCTGGTAATATTTTCTTCCTCAAAAATTTATAGCAAGTAATATTTTAAAATATGTATTGCTGGTAATAGTTTTTTTTTTTTTCAAAAATATATTGCTGGTAATACTTTTTTTCCTTGAAAAATTGATTTCAGAAAATAATTTTTTCCAAAATATTTCTGGTCTTAAAACCTATTTTTACACTTTCATAAGGCTTTTTACTTCAGTTTGGGGGTTAACTATTTGACCATAGCTGGGAACCTAACAGGGGCTACCACCCCGAGTCAGGGTAGACATGGCTACACCAGCAATTAAGAGGTAGTTCCTCGCTCCTCAAAACCTCCTGATCAGAGGCTTTTCTGCTAGACGTAGTTTATCGTCTTACCCTGGACGCTTTATCCAGGATGGTTCCGTGATTGTAACCGTTGTTTGTTGCATTTATTTCCGTTCTCTTTCTCTCCATATATATATATATATATATATATATATATATATATATATATATATATATAACCATCGTGTTCACCCTGTACAAGGACAAAGATCCACTTGAGCTAGTGGGTTACAGAGTAAATGGTAAGAGGTACGATTATATATTTAATTGCTGCAAACATTATTTATCTGAAGAAGTCATTTCTTGGACCGAAACGTGCAACGTAGGAGTTTTTTTTCCATCTTGTCATTCAGTTACCCGATGAAAATTCATGTGAAAAATTACAGTCATCTGCCCCACACCATTATCTACGATTGAAGACAGTCGAGTAATAGGTTGTTAGGATACGACATTTTTATTAGTTTTGTTTCTGAGCGTGATCATGGCGACACTATTTGATTCAGTGTAATAAAAAAAAAAAAAAAAAGAAAACTTATCTGGATTATTTTCTACCAATCAGAAGAATAGATTTTGAAAGGCGCGATAATTTGAAAAGAAAGCTTCCTGAGCCTCCTGACGCAAATATATGGAAGGGCATCAGTCGGTTAAATCGCTATTCACTCTCGATACATCAGAGTGGATAGTCAGAAAAGATGGGGTCAAGCAGATCAATTAACATTTTCAGTAATAGACTTTGACATACCACGTGGCCAACCAACGTCTCCAGGCAACATACGAAACTTAATTCAGATAATTTGGAGCATTTGAGACAAACCTATTAAGCTTTCCTCGATGATGCAAGACAACTCGTTCGCTGTTACCATAATTTTACAAATTTATACCAGCTTCAACAAATCTACCACAACGATATCCATTTGGTATTTATCATTCGATAATAGACGATTCGGATACTACGCTGACATATTAACCCCGGGCAAGTCAGAACATTAAGTATACCTCGCGAACTTTCACTGTATCTGCTTTTACCACGAACATGTATTTAAGTTTATCAACTAATGCGCGTCTCCACTTTAACATGAACGGTTTTTTCTATTTAATTTATATGTGGAACTCAAAAGAATATGTTGAGCAAGCCATTACAGCCATCTTGTTTTCACATAAATTATTGTGTGTGTTTGTAAGATACAGTAATCCCTTGAAATTGCAGTATACCTACATATGAGATTTTTGAGACACGCGCCGGAGTTTGGCCGATTTTTTGCCTTGTGATGCGAGCTGAATTTTGAGATACGAGCCGGAGTTTGGCCGATTTTTTGCCTTGAGACGCGAGCTGAATTTTGAGATACGAGCGAGTTTCAGTTAAGCATCAGCTAGTTGACACAGCAAGCGCCAATTTCGAGATTATTTCCACTCACAATCGATGTGTTTATCTCGCTCTGGAAGGATCTCTATTGAGGTTGTGTTATATCATTTTTGTCGTTATTTTGCAAATTTCCTTTAGTGACACCATGGGACCGAAGAAAATAAGTATAATGAAAAAAAAAAAAAAAAAAAAGAAAAAGTCGAAACGTATGATTTCGCTTGAGGTAAAGTGGGAAATTATTAAAAAAAAACAAAACAAACAAACAACAACATGGAGGAAGACGTAGGAGTAATGTATTTGGCGAAACACAATGAGCGTTCTACATTAATGGTAAATAAAAAATTAAAAAAATACATACAGTTACTGGATAAAATGTAAATATTTAAAAAAAATAAATATCAAGTGATAAAATTAATCTTTGGTATTGTAGAATATGCTAGACATTAATAGGTTCGTTTAGTGGTTACTTGAAGAGATGTCGTTGTCCATCTCTGTCTCCTCCGCCAGTTGGCCGATGGCTCATCTGGACTTCATGATTCAGTACAGTTTATTTCTTTACAATTTTTTTCTCTTTTATTTTATTGTTTTTTAAACTACATTTCTTGTTTATTCACACGTTTTTGCTTGTAAAAAAATCCATAAATACAAAAACAGGTGTTCAATTTAGGAAAATAAGGATGATTTTTAGGGGCATGGAATGGATCGGAAATATTCCCATTAAATCCAATAGTGAAAATCGATTTTGAGACACGAATGTTTTGAGTTACGAGTTCAGTCTTGGAACAAATTAAACTCGTATGTCAAGGCATTACAGTATATAATTAAAATCTGAAACAAACGTAGAGATAGTGAGAAATTGGAAATGCTTATAAATGAAGCGTTTCGCCGACATCTGTTTGTCTCGACTTATTCAGCTCAAAATGAAAGACGGAATTGTGTGTAAGAAAAATGCACTGGATCCTGAAAGTGTTTTCCTTACACACAGGACCTAAATAAACCATTCTGACATGAAGAAGCCGAGACTAACAGACGTCGGCGAAACGAGTCGTCTATAAGCTTTCACACTGTATCATCGTCTTCAGCAATTATTTTAGATAAAACAAATTCCTAATGTTTCAATCTCACATTGAAGAGTCCTTTTTATTGTCCGCATGAAGAGATAACTAGTTCATATATTTTAAAATAACCTATAACCTACTAAATATCTGATCATCATATAATATTATATATATATATATATATATATATATATATATATGTGCATATAACATCTTCCATATATACTTGTGTACAAGACTTACAAATAATGGAGTTAATGAATTATTTTAATAGAAATTAAGACGAGTTCCTCACATTTAAATTCTCACCTGTAAATTGGAACAGAGATCAAATGAAACAAAGCAATTTATTTACGGGACGAATCAGGACTTTCAGGCTGGTCCTCTACAAGTTGGCTCATAGAACCACCTATCCGTGAAAGAGAGAGGAATTGTAAGACAAATATGTCAGTTCTTTTTCTGTTGCCTCTTTTAAAACATTTTCTATTAAGCAACAGGTTCCTTCTCAAAGGGAACAACTACTGCAAGAGATGTGGGTTTAGAATTACAAGCCTGGTTATAACGTCCAGTATGTTCCCCTGAGGCAATCATTATCTGAACGTGTCATTCTAATGTCCGGCGGCAGTTGCTGCGAACAGGTTGCTCAAACGTACACGGATGTGTAAAAAGAAGGGAAAAAAAGTGAATTTTATAACGAGAATGTCGAGATTAGTAAACGTTTACAAAATGTATGAAGATCAATGAAAACATTTTCGGGGAGTAGGTTAGTTATTGCTCAAAACTAAAAAAATCCCAAAATAATATTTAGGTTGGGATGTTCTTAAATGAAAGTAGATATTCCTTCTGTGCTACGACATGAAGAAGCAACAAGTTATATATATATATATATATATATATATATATATATATATAGAGAGAGAGAGATATTCAAAAATAGATAAAAAAAATTCTGACTTCATACATTTATAATATCAACGGGTAACTTTTAAAAGTATGAAAGACAACTTGATATAACTTGTAAGTCATTACAACAGCTTGGAGAGATGGGATAACATTTTCACTTCTAAACAAATGCATTTTTCAGGTAATAGCAATCACCATATTGCATGGGAATTTGGAAATTTAAAGATTAATAATTTGGTACTATGGTTAAATTTTACATGCAGAAAGACAGTAACTCATGTCAAACTGAAATAGTATACTAAAATCAAATGTAGCTTATCGTACTTTCTGAGGGTATATTATTATATGTGCATATCTATCTATATTTATTTATTTATCTGTCTATCAGACGTACGACTATATCACGGTGAAACAGTTTCTCGTACGATCATCGAAGTTAAGAAACATCGAGTTTGGTCATTACTTAGATGGGTGACCGCTTGGGAATAGCAGGTGCTGTAAGCTTTGATGTGCGAATAGTACAATGGACAGTGGCTCGGAATTGGAAAACAGAGAGCCGAGTTCCAATTCCAGTCGGATGCGTTATATTCACATACGCACAAATATCCCTGGTAAAAGTATGATGAATCCGCCTTTTCTCACTCCTCAACTATGGGTTAATTAGTAGAGCGTGTATCAATAAATCATTATCTCTACAAGATTCTTATAATCGAAAACTATTTTTGGCACTAAATCTGCAAGTGGTTGATAAGTCGTAAAAACAAATCTACTAGTTAAAGACACACACACACACACACATATATATATATATATATATATATATATATATATATATAAAGAAAAGAGAGATATGTGTATTTGGAAAGCAATCACTGACTAATATTTCATTAAAATTACTGATATGGTACTTCTGAGTAATATATATATATATATATATATATATATATATATAATTATTCGAAGGTTTGGATCTCTATCAGCAGACCCAGAAAACGATTACCTTTAGCAACCTTGATTAAGAGTAAGACAATCCGAGAAAGAGAAGGTAAATACAGGTTTACCACTTGAAAGGATCCCGATTTGTCTACAGGCGGCAGACTTTCTCGTGTCAGAATTATCAGGACTAAGCGGGAATCCAGGCACTGTGACAAACTCGCTCGCAGGTGAAGCTGAAATGACATACTAGAAGAAGTGATGTTTACAAGAGCTGCTTGGAGATTAACTTTACACATCTACTGCATATTGAGTTTAATACTAAATTATAACTAAAATCAGAAAAGACTAGTGACTAGTGTTGCAATGAGTCGTTTCAAAGAAGCGGATGTTGAAACTTGACCGCAATATATAACTCAGTTCTGCGAGACAACAAACAGGGAATTGCTATTTTGTGGAACAGACTCCCAAGTCTAGTTTCAAATCTTAACTCTTCCTCATAGATCCATAATGTATCACTCAATAACCCTGTACCTTGTGGCTTTTACGCTTTGCATTTGATGAACGCTTAGTAAAAAAAACTGAAACCCTTTATTAACAGGCCTACAACAGTGTGCTCGTAACACACATACACACGCGTACATATACATTTTAATTCACTATTGCTTTTTAAGTGAAAAAAAGAACTTAACGATTAAAATAGGTGACGCAAAAGATCAAAAGTTAATGAGAAAAAGTAAAATGATTCTGAAAAGAGAATGGTTGTTCGGTTACCACTTGATTGAACCATTACCCATGACTTTAGGGGTAAAGATAATCACAAGTTTAATTTCTTCGTTGAATTAGAACACAGAACCAAGATAATGACATCGATAGTGTGACGAACGATTGTTAAATCATCCAAGAATTGTCGAAGTAACCTTCAGGTCATTGTCGGCTCTCACAGAATTCGCTTGGCAACACATGTGAGAAATTTTTTTTTTTCTACAGAAATACATTGTTTAACGCTTCGGTTATTTTTAGTATTGAGAAATAGTAAATCTTACAATAAAGTATATGAGAAAATGTATGTGTGTGTTTGCCGTATGGCTTGTTTTGAGGAGGTTCAGTTGCATTTTTTTTTTTATCTGAATTCTATCTTTAATGGAGACAAAACCGCTACTACTTATGTACTTAATTTGAGAAACATACAATTCAATAAATACATAATTCTGACTTAACTTATTTTTGGTACCACGATTTCGTAGAAACCCTGAGATAAAAAGATAAAAATTTGCAGTATTTGAACATTGAAAAGTTTCAATTTGGTTCACTCCAAAGAATTTCTTTAAAGTTTTATAAAGTAAAATCTTCAATTTTTATTTTGTACTTTACTGATTGTTTAGGATTTACTTGAACGCCTGTCTTCATTGTATAGTTTAACCATAATAAAATTTTATCAACACATTTATCTTTTATGGTCTAGACACTACAATGATGGCGTGCCAGAATTTATCAAGATGTTATTCAGTGATTTGAGAGACTGTCAAGTAAATCCAAAATACTGATAAAATCTGGTTGATTACCGTTGAAATACTTGCATTCATATCAATCATTAGCTAATCTATTAGTTCAGATATTGGGGGTTTGTGTTGCGTTCGCCCTTAAAGTGCAGAGAGACTGCCGTCAAAAGCAACGTTTGAAATCCTGACTATCTGGATACGATTGCTGAGTACACGTTTCAAAGTGAAATATACAACTGCCAGTTACAAGAGTGTTTTACATCATTACAAAATTGATGAGAAATTAGTAGCATTATTTTCTATCTCTCACCTATTAATAATCGGATTATCAGTATGGATTTGCTTTTAAAATGATGACATCTAAAATGTACTCGTCCCCCCTCTCTCTCTGTCATATCCTTTTAAGGATTATGGTTCTCCACAACCTCCTGTCTTTTGTTATCAGAGTATTTCTTGCTCCTTTATGATGTCTCTTACAGACAGGCTTTAATTAACAGAATATATTGCCCATATAAGTATATCGCGAAAATGTTGGGCTTAGAGCCGCATCACATTGAGACACCGCACGATCACTGAAGTTAAGCAACGTCGAGCCTGGTCAGTACCTAGATGGGCGACCGCTTGGGAATACTAGGTGTAGTAAGCTTGAATATGCGGATGGTGTAATGGATAAAGGTTTGTAATTGTTAATTGGAAAGCCGTGTTCCAATCTCTGTTGTACGCGTTATATTCACTTAGGCGAAAATACCCTTGACAAAGATATAAATTCACCTCCTCATGCTAAGAGCCAGATAAGGCCGAAAACTGAATACTGTCCTCATCTTTGCCGCCATATTTATTACAACGTTTCGGCTGTTGTACGCTCCGGCCTTCTTCAGGTGGTTGGAACGTCGAACTGAACTCTTTATTTCGCTAGACCATTCTAGTTCCACGTGCCATGTTTAATGTATGTCAGTTATCAGTTATCTCCTGTTAATTTCTCTCTCCATGTTCTCCACCGCTATTGTGCCATATATCCTTGAGGACACATGGCACAGTGGATAAAGGCGTTGGTTAGGACCCAAAGAGTGTGAGTTCAATACCCAGTTTAAGTTAGTGCAGAACTTTCAGAGAGAAATTAACAGGAGATAACTGATAACTGACATCCATTAAACATGGCACGTGGAACTAGAACAGTCTACCCCAGTGAGCGAAATAAAGGTTTCAGTTCAACATTCCAACCACTTGAAGAAGGCCGGAGCGTATAACAGCCGAAACGTTGTTATAAATATGGCGACAAAGATGAGGACAATAACGCGAATAATGTAAATAATGTACATAATACCTCATCTCAGAAATATAGACAGATACTGTTGCCATATTTTCCAGTTTTGATAGAGTTCAAAAGCGTCTCCGAATCCTCGATGGAGAAGAATTATTTTGCCCCCGCCAACCTCTTTCTCACAGACGAGATGTAGTGAACTACTGCTCGGACGAACTACATTCTTTGGTTCCACCAAATCTAACCTCACGACTAGGGCCCGCCATGTCACTTCCATAGTCTCAAATCACCCACATTCCCTCCGTATTCCGTTGGTGAGAAGTAAGTTCCACTCGAGCAGCTTCTTCCGGTGAACAACTGCCTTGTAGAACAGTCTCGCAAGAGAATATTTTCTGTTCAAGTCGAGAGTTAACCGTTATCTTCCTCTCCTATCCATATAAATCACCCCTTAATGTAATCCTCTACCTTGAGTGGACCCCGGGCTTTGTATAGGGTGAACCTTATTGTAAAAAGCAAAACTTCTCCCCCAGCCATGGATTAAGTAGTAAAACTTGTATCACTAAACCATTATTATCTGAAAAAGATATTTCAATCTAAAAATATTTTCTGGCTTTAAATAATAAATCGGTTTGTGATTTAATAAGATTCAGTATTAATAGGTATAAATACACACGCACACACACATATCAGCATTCGGATGAAAAATTATAAGAAATTTAATTTTCACATTTCCATTCGACATCATGTTCATATTCAATGGTAAAGCGTCATAAATAGCACTGCACGAATCCATATTTGTTTACTTACCAGTTTTCAGAGTACACAGACCGATCTTGAAAAACAGAAATTAACGATGAAAAATGTTGTATACATGTCATTCTCTTGCTTTATTTAAAAACCACAATTTTTAGTTAATGAAAAACCAATTAAAATTTAGTAACTGAATTTTTATAACTACACTTCTAATGTGAGAGTGTTCAGAAACTAATTACAGAAATCATATAAGACTAACTAAGTGAAATTTATTTAAATATTTATCAAAAATGTAATCAACTTTATTTTCAACCACTTAAGCCAAAGAAAAAAAAAAGTCAATGCCATTTTGAAAGAAATTTGAGTTTTTTCTCTGAATAATTTGAAATATTGTTATCAATTGGTTTGTTTCTGAAATATGTTAACTTCTTTGTTTCTGACTATTCTGTCACTCATAAATGTCCCAGGAGTCGAAACAAATGAAAATATGTAGTTACTAACTCTAGTAAGTATGGAAAATATAAAGTTCCTCCCACTATAACGATATTATTTTTTGTGGGTTTGTTTTGCAAAGTGTGCTCATGTATTGTCATGCTAGAGAATAATATCTTTTCTCTTTCCACGTCATGCATCGTTTATTTGATCGTGCTGCTAACAATAAACGCCAGGTTCTTTACAGTTTTCATTACCTCGTAATGGAAAAGGCCTTTTATATTCCACCATAAACAAAGCAAGGACTTTTGTAGATGAAAATGTGTTGGTACTGGTTTTTAACTTTGTGACAACCATCGTCTTTTTCGTTTTCCATTGTCATGCAAAAGTATGACAATATGATAGAAAAATGAAAGTCTAACGTTTTTCATTAAAAAAGACTGTTGCCGATTGTAATACGTTGTGTTCAGTTCTCGAGCAAAAACTTATGCTGATCCCAAATACCAGCTTTACAAATTTCGACAATTCAACTGTGAAGTACACGATAATGAATTTTAATGAAGTTCTCTGCATGATATAAGGAACGATAAATTCGAAATGCATTTTCCGACTATTCAACCTTTATTATACCTTAGTTGATCGACTCAAAATTCATATTCATTCAAGTCTTGGGTATGACGACAAACTACATCCGGCAGCAAGGCTTCAGATCGGATGATTGGAGGTTTTGAGGAATATGAAATCAGCTCTTGAAGGTTCCCCCTGATGCGGGGTGGTATCATTTGTTAGGGTCCTAGCTATGTTAGTGAACCCCCAAACAAGACACTATAAATGTATAAAAATACATTTTTATGGTGAATATGCTAGGGATAGATTTTTTTTAGAAAATTACCATTATTTACATTGTCGTAAAATTAGCAATACAATACACCTTTAAAGCAAAATCACCAATAATACATTTTATAGTAAAATGATCAACAAGACATTTTATCGGTAGTTGAAACCATAAAATTGTGTTCAAAATATTTAGATGTCGGCATTAAATTATCCATAGAGGTTGATATGCCGCGAAACAAAATCAACCAACCAACGATTTCATTCAAATAATTACTTTCAGAATACCCTAATAGACACAACACTCTCATTGATAAAGCAAAAAACGTAATTCTCATGGTGGTTTTATTTGTAAAATACATCAGGTTATCCTTAAAATTAGCACCAGACGGGAGATTAGATTTTGTGCCATTTGCAATTCAGTTTTATTGTAACCGTACTACAAGCGTTTGCTACTAAACAAGCCAAACGGTCAGCACTGACATTTCTAAGAATGAAAGAAGTTCAATCATTTTGTTTGCAGTCAGTTTCTTTCCGTTTTGTTTTACTCTTTTGGTATTTCTCCGAGACGCAAAGCAGGAAGACTGCCTTTTTATTGCCTTGCCCAGAGCCATCAATGGATCCGGGAGCTTGTAAAACTTCGCAATACCCAGGTGCTACAAATATCTATTATTCTCTCTTCAGCTCAAGAAATAAACCATTCTTACTGTTGATGTTAGCCGTCGGTGTTTCTTATCGAAGTAGGCAGCTGGAAACTGAACACTGAAGAATTACTCAACCGGCGTATGATTATCGAATTCTTATGTGTCTGCAAGGTAGTTCTGTCTTTTCGAAAGGTCGTTGTCTTCGGTATTCCCAGATAATTTTTTTTCTGAGTTTGCCACAGTTAATCCAATCATATTAAATTGTATTGAACTGATAGGATATTCCTCTTTGAGATGTTTTATCAGGAAGGATTAGTGGCAATAGATGAAAACATAAACGGCGAGGAAGTTAATAGAAGACAAGGATTTTCCATTCTTTCTTTCTTTTTTTTTTCCTTTCTTTATTCTCTTCAGTTTCAAACAGACGGGGTAGCTAGAATTTTAAAATAACATTCGCTAATGAAACACTTTATTCTAGAATGCTTGCTGCCTAAATTAAGTAGTAACAGTAAATTTCCTGAATAAAAAGATAGGTTAGAATAAATATGTCCCCGGTGGATTTTTCTTCAGAAACAAATAATATTGAGGGCCTGATTATTCGAAAATTAAAGATATATTGGTATAATAATCATTATTATATTACCGAAGTCGTCAAATATAGAAAATATCGCATTCCTTTTTTTGTATCTTGGATATACTGATTGTAATCAATTATAAGTAACTTTTGTTAATATAGGGCCAACTTGTTATCGATCGACTTCAATGTTTTTATATTATGTTGACCACATGCGCGCCCACACACACATATATACATACATTTTATATATATATATATATATATATATATATATATATATACACACCTAAATAGCCAGGCAAACTTACCTAGTCCAGTTTTACCCTGACGATCCGTCTAGGTGAAAGCTAGGTAAGTTTCCTGGCCGTTTTAGGATTTACATTACGTTTGCTTTACTTCGTGTATTGAACACTTTACGTACTTTTTACACGTTTTGGAGGGTTTTTTTTCTTTGAGTTTGGACGATTGTTTTCGCCTCAATTTCATGTTCTTAGTTCTTTTTTTTTTTTTACTCATTTTCCTTTTACTGGTTTGTTTTACTACAACAATATATATATATATATATATATATATATATATATATATATATATATATATATATATATATATTCCCCTTGATGCATTAAGTTACTTTGTATTACGATACTGAGTATAAATGCTAGATACCTCCTTCTTTCATTTGCATTTGACTTCTGGTCACCCCCAAATCGCATGCGATATGAAACGTGATTTTTTTGATTGGTCGTTTTTGTTTATCGATATATCAATAACGTCTTTGGGTCATTTAACACCGAAATCCAAATGATTTGTACCCATTCCTTCTTTAGATCCTAATGGTTTAGTGAGTCATACTATTTAACCCATAGCTGGGGAAGAAGAGGCGGATTCATACATTTCTCAATGGTATTTGCGCGTAAGCGAATATAACGAACCTAACTGGAATTAGAACTCTGCTCTCAAATTAAAATTCTGAAGCATTATTCTGTGCACGACTCGCACATGCAAGGTTACAGTAACCCTGCTATGAAATATGATGTATAATGTCATTTCTGTTCTTTAGCACTCATACCGCTACCAAACAATATTATGATGATTTTCTAAACATAGCTTAGATGTGAAACAAGGCCGGAAGTTTGGGGCACCCACAGAGGATGGAAATCAATATTCAGTTGTAAGTGATCTAGCGAGACAAGTCTATTACATCCCGCCGAAGTGCCCCTATAAACGATATTATGTTACTACTGCGAACTGATATCGCCTTGACATTTTCTATAAATTGTTTCTGCTGAAACCGATATTGGGTTCATTCTCTCCGTCTCGTATAAATTCTGAATCTAAAATGTTCCTATTCGCTTGTCATCTAAAGAATAAAAAGAACCGGTCGGCACCATCTGAACGTGCATTTAACCTTGCCCTGGTCACATACACTAAAGACTTGGTGACATTTGCAGATGTACAATATGAAGCGTCCTACGGCCACAGAGTTGAAACACCGGTTCCCGTACGATCAACGAAGTTAAGCAACGTCGATCCTGGTCAGTACATAGATGGATGACAGTTTGAGAATACCAGGTGCTGTGAGCTTAGATATGTGATTCATGTTATGGTAATTAATCAGAATTGTTAATCGGAGAGCCGAGTTCCAGGTTGAATTGGGTTCGTTATATTCACTTACGCACAAGTACCCTTGGGAAAGATGACACCACCTCTTCTTCCCAGTTATGGGTTAATTAGTAAGATGCGTATAGTGTGTAAACCGCTCTTTTGAATGGTTTCTAACATTATTTCTCATCTTATAGTTGTGTCTCTGTCTTTGGGTAGAGTGTACTCAGCGGCGGCTCCGTCAAAGGACAGAGTCGCAACTGAGGAAAATTATACTGAGATGTGCCCAGACCTGGGGAAAAGCTGTCCGCGGCCGCGCGCTCTCACTGTACCAGAGAGAGGGATCGGTGCTCGCACTAAGGCCATTGCAACAAATGCAATTTTTGTTCCTAGCCCGAGTGTACGGGCTCGGGCTCCCCACCTTAAAAACTGACCTAGTAAATGCCTAGTAAGACTTGTATCACTAAACCATTATTATATCCAAGAAATTCTTAAAAAAGTCTAAAAATATATTATGTCTTTAGTTACCCTGAAAGTTATTGATCAGCTGTAGAAAATGAATCAGTTAATCAACAAAGTTGAAAAGTGTTGTGGTAGGATCCACCTAATTTGCATAGTGGCGTACCGACCATATAAATATGGTTGGTACCGGGAAGAGAGAGAGGAATCAAGAGATTCAACCAGAGACACTGCCCGACTGCGACTGAGTCAACACATTCTCCAGGAACGGTCTTACCAGGAATATACAAAAGACTATATGTAAATATTGTGTACACTTTCTTGTTTTAATACATTTTGTTCTAAGTACATTTTGTGTTGCATTATTATTCCATGCATTAGTCAAGTTTCAACAAAAAGAAAGCAAGACAAATGCGTAAATACATCTCTTTACTGAGATTTCAATAAAATTGATGTTAGTGGCTTTCGGAAAGAAAGTTTCTCATATTTGAGAATTGTTTATTTACTGCAAAAAAATCGACTGAAAATTCCATGGTTTTAGTCAGAGGCTGCTTAAGAGACAGACGGTAATCGAAGCAAAAGAATGAAAGAATTAAATGACAGATAAAATAGAATAAACTTTTCATACATCGTTTACGAGTACACCTATGCGCTAGTCTAGCTAGATAATCCCTTCTGCAGTTACCTGATCAGGCACATTTGTGTTTTTGAAAAGGGATAAAAAGATGATTTATACCACAACTATGCTAAGCGGTCCTTAATTACAGTTTCCTTTCATTGATTCGTTTTCTACGAGTTATCAACCCTATTCAGGTTATTTAAAGCGACAAAATATTTTTAGATTGTAAGAATTTAGTGGCAGGGGTGCAAGGTAAGATAATAGATTAGTGATACACGTATTACTAATATAGCCATAGCTGAGGAGAGAAGCAGTGGATTCATACCATTCCCAAGGGTATTATGCGCATAAGTGAATATAACAAACTCATTGGTAATTGGAACTTGGCCATAGCCTTTACTTCATTGTCAAGAGCCTCGTTGATTGGAGACTAATTTATTAATTACTTCTCGTTGTTGTAAGTACTTCATGACAACATACACGTGCAGTAAATCTTAAGAAAATTAAGTCAAAGCAATTGCTGGGCGAAAAGAGAAAATACGTGAAGTATCTATGTTGCATAATAAAAAATGTATTTTTCAGCGCAGTATATTTGACGGTATTAAAAGAAGCATGGACTTATAAGACGTGTCAGAAGGGCATATTTATTTTGTGTAGAAAGACAGAGGGTAAGTGTTGAAAATGTACTCATTCTTTGACTCTGAATGTCGCATAGTAACTACGGTATTCACCAGAATTCTACTACAAATAGTTATTGCTAGTAATTCTTACTATAAATAGGTATTGCTGGTAATTCTTAATATATAGATAGGTATTGTTCGTGATTCTTACTGTAAATGGATATTGTTCGTAATTCTTAATATATAAATAGGTATTGTTGGTAATTCTTACTATAAATAGGTATTGTTGGTAATTCTTACTATAAATAGGTATTGTTGGTAATTTTGTTTTATATAAAAATGTATTGCTGGGATTTTATCAATAAATACATTTTTATACTTTCCTAGTGTTTTGCTTTTGTTTTGAGGTTCATTATTTTCCCATAGCTGGAACCCTAACAGGTGCTACCACCCCGGGTCTGGGTGGGCCTGTGAACAATAGCAATTGAGAGGTAGTTCCACGCTCCCCAAATGTCCAATCTTTCAATCAGTAAGTTTGCATGTGCGGTTGGTGTAATGGATACCGGCTCGGAATTGGACATCAGAGTGCTGAGTTACGATTTTTCTTATTAATTCATATAATTGACGAATACTTACATAGATAGAACATTAAATTGTGAGAATTTCAAGTCAATAGCCAGTTAATAACTACATGTCATCCAATGTTTAACATCAGGAAAGGACGGTTGAAATTTCTGGAGCACATTATGAAGAAAGAGTGCTTAGAAAATTTGATACTCACTGGAGAGATAAGAGGGCTAGGGGGGGGACAAAGCAAAATCTACATGGTGAGATTGAACGAAGGGATGGAAGAGTAGGGTGTGGGAAAGACGGCAAAAAAAACAAAAATTAAGAACGAAAAAGGGCATGAAATTATTGTGAGCTATGATTGTCAACGTCCTGAAGAGACACTAGCCATAGAGGAAGAAGATATGACATCAGTGTTAAACCGTCTTCATTGGTCAGGGGACAGGACCTGTAACTATCTGATTTTTGCATCTGAGTGACCCAAGCACAGGACGCATGCGCAGTTTCCATATATTATGTTTAGCATTTAAACTACGATACAATTTAAAGTGATAGATATTAATAATTGTATATAATTTTTATGATGAGGTACCCTAAGACATAAAAACTAATTCAAGTAAGGTACAAGGGTAAAAACGTTGAGAAAGGCTATTCTAAGGAAAATAAACAGAAAATAAGACAAATTGTGTTCCCCGAATACAATGTTGATATAACAGATTATTTTCTTGGTTTTGTCTCTCTGATGTTCCTTTTTGGCGGTTCACGGAACTCATAACAATCAATCAATTATGGGTAGAAAGACGTCTAATGATCAGTAAATGTCACTGAGCGAAGATTATTAATCCTTCAGTTAATCCGGATATCACTGAAATAATCTGTCTTGTTTTAATTTTTGATTAGTCTCATTAAATTGATAATTAACTGCTTGGTTCGGTTATGTTAAAACGGAGCCACATTATGCAATAAAGAAAAGATCCAATGTTAATAATGAAAAAGAAACAGCTACACGCTCACACATGTACTTGTAAAAATATATGCAAAACATTAGATCACAAACACGCACACAAAGAGACAAATCTATAAACATCATACGTAGAGATCACGATTAATCTCAGAAAATAGCTGAATGGATATATATATATATGTATATATATATATATATATAAAATTTAAAGAAAACCAGACAACTTTAAGGTTACATGGTTATAATTTATTTCCCCAGGGAGTTTCTTTTTCCCTGGATCATCAGACCTCACTTCCAAGGAGAAAAAATGAATTTAAACTTACACTTTTGAAGGGTAGTATTAAGTTGATGTAAGGTGATATAGAGAGTGGTGAGAGATAGTGTGACAGACACTGTCGAAATTTAATACTACCCTTCAAATGTTTAAGTTTAAATTCATTTTTTTCATCCTTGGAAGTGAGGTCTGATGATCCAGGGAAAAAGAAACTCCGTGGGGAAATAAATTATAACCATGTAACCCTAAATTTGTCAGGTTTTCTTTCAATTAAATTATTCGATCTAATTTAACATTTTTTCCGGATTTCATACTCTTTGGGATTATCCATACGGATTACGAAGATTTTCATTATTTATCATATATATATATATATATATATATATATATATATATATAAAAAGAAGGTCATGTTTGGCATAATCAATGATATATATGATTATATAAAAACCCGACGTCACTAAATACGTGATTATATTTTCTCACTATTATACAATGATTATCTCGGAGCAGGTTGTTCAATTGTCTTTTTTGCAACATCTAATCACTGTATTTTTATTTTATTTTAAAAGCGGTAGCATGAAAAATAATTCGGCTTTACTGAATATTCTACATCATCGAATGGACTTCCTATGCTCAGTCAGTCAGTTATGTGCCATACGTGATACACGCTTTGGCGATCATTTATCTTTCGATACATGACTGACGAGGCAGACTTTTTTCTCGCAGTCGGTTATCATTTCTTTTTTGCGGTAGACCAGTTGCCATCCAACTCTGTCCTACTATTTATCCATAGCTGAGGTGAGAAGAGGAGGATTCATACCTTTCTCAAGGGTATTAGCACGGAAGTAAATGTAATGGATTCGACTGGAATTCGAACTCGGCTCTCTGATTCCTCAATTCGAGCCGCTATTCATTACATTACTCCAGGGATAGTTTCAAACAAATTGCTCTATTCGAAATATCCGAAAGTAGAAGCGTATAGCAGCTAAAATGTGATAAAAGCAGAAAAAGATGAAACATCTTGTCTGAAGGAATTATTGTATCATCGATTTTTAATCACTGGCAAAATATATTCAAAATATATTCATAAACTGGAGCCGTATGTTAGTATTTTAATGCAAGGAGAGTTCGAAGTTTAATACTTGAAAGTGCAAATGTAAGCAGTTTATTGGTTCTCTAAATATGTATGAGTTTGTATATTCCTGTGGAGGTTTTACATAAGTTTATGACTTTCTTCTTGCAATGCTTGCATATCAGGAAAACTACCGTTAAATAAGTAGCGAACATTGGAAATAAGTTCTGAAAAATCAAAGATTTTCACTATTACATTTTGATATATAAGAAGCATGCAAACATTTACAGGGCCATTATTTACATTATTCGGTCTATTGTCCTCATCTTTGTCACCATATTTATTACAACGTTTCGGCCGTTGTACGTTCCGGCCTTCTTCAGGTGGTTGGAATGTCGAAC